TGATGGTTTTTTGTTTTTTGTTTTTTGTTTTTGTCTTTTTGAGACAGGGTCTTCCTGTAGTCCCAGCTGACCTGAACTCACTATGTAAACCAGGCTGGCCTTGAACTCACAAAGATCTGCCTGCCTCTACCTCCCAAGTGCTGGGACTAAAGGCTTGTGCCACCACGCCCAGCTGTACAAAGTTTTAAACTATTTCATCTCATTAAATCTTTATAACCCTAAGAAGAAAATCAAGGTTTAAATGCACTCAAGTATCCGTCAGTGGATTCACAGATCAAATGCACTCAAGCATCCATCAGTGGAGCTGGGAGAGAAGACGAGATTTGCACATTGCATTGCGAATCTGATGCTCTGGCCAACACTGTGGACTCCCTTGTGGGTCCTGAGGGTTCCACAGATCCACAGACTATTTCTCACCTGACACTGTGGAATATCCCAAGATATTGTAGGGACAGACATTCCCTCCAGTGCTGGCCAATTAATTTATAAATAGAAGAGATAGGGTGGTATTGAACAGATGGGAAATGATACCTAGAGAAACCAAAGAATTCTAGAAAAATTTCCAGTATGTCCTGACCCAGATGAGGACAGGGAGGCTGCTCCAGACCAGCAGTGAAGCAATGGGGATGTGCGGGAATTCATACCTAGAGGGGCCATCAACTTGTCAGAAACACGTAAGTCCTTCTGCTGACTCAGCAGCATCCATTCCTCCTGGAGCAAGTGCAGTGTTATATCATCAAAAGTCACAGGAGCCTGAAAGGAAAATGACACCTGCTAGGTACCAACTTTCTCCAAGACAAATCCTTCCACTCTAGGTGCGTGGGAGGCATTATCAATTTCCATAGTCAACCCGCACCCCATCTCCCTGGACACCTAAGTGCAGATCACAGAGGAATGAAATGAGGGAGTGCCAGGAATTTTGTTTTCCCTTTTGTTTACTGTGTGTGTGTGTGTGTGTTGTGTGTGTGTGTGTGTATTTATGTGTGAGTGTGCATGCACATGTGTGTAATGCAGGTCAGAGGTCAACATCGGGTACCTCCTCACTTGCTTTTCAACCTTGTTGAGACAGGGTCTTTCCCTGAACCTGGAATCACCAATTTGGCTAGACTGGCTGGGCAGCGAGCCCCAGGAATCATCTGTGTACATCTCTAGCACCACGCCTGAGGTGCTGAGGTTTGAACCCAGTTCCTCGAGCTTGTGCAGTAGGCACCTTACTGACTGAGCCACCTCTCCAGGACCCTGAGTGCTTTTCATAGGAGTCAATACTCAAAAAAAAAGACACTATAAATAAGTAGAAAAGGCATTTTAAGATCACTCCCAATCCCGACACTGAAGCAGAATTACCGTTATCTGGTATATGACCTCCCAATGTTCTGTCTATGAAAATGCAAACATGAACAGCTTTAGAAACAGTAGTGGGGGCACTACTACTTTAGTGGATAAAGGCACTTGCTGCCAAGCCTAATGACTTAAGTTCAATCCCTGGGACCCACATGGTGGAAGGAAAAAACAAACTCCTTCAAGTTGTCCTCTGACCTCCTTCCACACTTGGCCATGACATGTGCCTACCTGCCCACCCACCCCTCCACATACACAATAAATAGTGGGATTGTATTGCAAAACACGTGCTTTAAACAACTATTTGTGCTTACAGAGTCTTCCGAGGAGAATATGACTGGGTTTCCAAATGCTACTGGAAAGTGGAATCCACCAAAAGGAGGGGTCAGGCATATGCAAGGACAGCCTAAGAGCTTAGTGTGAAGTGGGGGAGACGGCCTGATCAGGTGGATGGCAGATCCCAGGGTGAATGCTGTACACCAGGACCAGAGGACAGTATGTTCCTATCTGTGTAGGTTTAAAAAAACTTGTGGCCAGTATGGTACAGCATACCTGTAAACTGAGGCAGGAAGATCCAAAGTTCAGGGCCATCTGGGCTACATAGCAAGGCCCTGTCTCTAAAAACCAAACAACCAAATAAACAAACAAACAACCCAAAACTTGTGACCAGGGACATACAAGGTTTCCTAGTCCCTCCGAATGAGCAGGTGGGCATGATGAAGACCAATGGGCCCATCCCCTAAGCTGCACCATGGGGAGGAGAGTGACTAAGACTGAATGTTGGAATCGTAAAGAGGGTCTTCTCAACCAGAGCGATTCCATGAACACCTGGCATCCCTATTTCAAGCTGCATCATGGAAACACCTCGTTTCTTTATCTAGGTAGAGTGCAGAAGAGTACCTGGATATTTTTAATAGTTCCCACTATTCGGCACCCAAAGCCCCTCAACGCGTCACTTGTCTGCTCCTCACTCCGGCTGTCCCACCACACTGAAGTCTTTCTTCTGGCCAGATTAGTGTCACTGCCATCACTCAACCCAACTTGTGTCTTTCCTCCTTCCACACTCCCAGACCTAAATTCCAACTGCCCTCTTCCTCCCACTACGTACAGTCCACGGCCCCTCAAGGTCTTAGTCACAGCTCATTTTTTGTGAGGGACTTCATAACCTCTGAGCACCACTGTGCCTTCTACCCTTGAGTTAGGAATGCCCCATTTCTCTTCTAGGGTCTGGCACTCAGGAAACCTGTGCTGATGGCTACTTTATAAGCCTCATCACCAGTACCAGGCCCTCTCTACCACCATTATCACACAGAAAGAATTTCAACGCCAATTATTTCAGTGTTCTCCCAACATACATTTATTAAGTGCTTTTACATGCTTACTGAACAGCGATATGCAAATATGGAAAGAGATTAAAATCTATCAGGTAGTGACAGAGAACTAGGACATAAAGGCAATGCTAGAACTGGGTTGGGAGACAAATGAGAAAGGCTGATCACTACTGTAGGAAATAAGAGATGACCAGGGCGGGCTGGAGAGATGGCTCAGCGGTTAAGAATCCTGGCTGCTCCTGAAGAGGATCCAGTGTTCGGTTCCCAGCACCCACATGGCAGCTAACAACCATCCGTAACTCCACTTCTGGGGGAATTGATACTGTCTTCTGGCCTTTTGAGCCCTGAATACATGGGTGCATTTACATACATGAAGGCAAAACACTCATACACATAAAATAGAAATAAAATTTTTTTAAAGATATGGCTAGGAAACACATGTGGAAGCAATAAACACATATAGAAGTACATACGCGGTCGATCACACGTGTCCAGCAGCAGCTGGACACACCCTTCTAGGCCAGAATATCAGACCAGTGCTCCATTTTTTCAAAGGAACACTACCTGAGGGCCTATCACACACAAGGTCCTGTTCTACAATTCTAACTGGGGATACTGAGAGTAAAGTCAGAAAAATATAAATCTTAGAATTTTCCAGTGATCAGGACTGAGAAGAAAATAAAACAGCATGATTGGGTGAAGGGTGATAGGATAAGTCTTTGACCTCTATCCATTATTCTGTCAACAGTAGGCAAGGTATCCCACAGGCAATCCATTGGCCCTGGATTGCTTTTAGTTACTACTTGTCACAAAACAGCACCTAAGAAATATTCTGGCAAAGAGATCATGTCATCACAAAGAGGACTCCCAATCTCCCAGCTTTTTGCTCAAAATCTGAGTCCACATTTTACCCATGTTTTATCAGTTGTTCACAATATATCTGAAACTGCTGCTGGTTTCACGGTTTCATTTTGGATAATGTTCTCATGTCCCAAGGTAGAAAACACACACACACACACACACACACACACACACACACACACACAAAAAAAGTCATTTCCCAAGATAGAAAACATATAGTGGATAAGAACCTTTATGAGACACTCTGCAATCAAGATTAGAATAAGGATGAATTTTCTGAGACTCAGGGCTTCAATTAGTGGTTGGAACTAGAAAAGAAATTAAATCCCTTTGCTACCTTCAAAATGTTTGAATTCCTCTTCTGTTGTCACAAGTTAATAAAAAAACAAAACTACTTCCTAGTAACAGAATCAATTGGAAATTAACCTTAAATCACTAATCCCAATCTCTGTGCCATTTTTCGATGCATTTAATCCATTTCCTCAAGTTCAATCTAAGCCAACCTGGAGATACTCCCCAGGGGTAAGGGCCATTTCTTTTACTCTGCGTGTCTGTCTGTCTCTCCTAGTGCTTAATATGGGCTGGCAAACAGCTTTCAGTCCTAATAGGTCTGGTGAAGCTTGTCTTGGCCCAGGTATCCGTAGGTTGCTGGATCTGGAAAATGCATCTCTGTAGCTAGTGGAGTGGATGGGAGGGTGGAAGAGATGCTTAAAGAGCAACAGCTTTTCATGGGGCTGGAGAGATGGCTCAGAGGTTAAGAGCACTGGCTGCTCTTGCAGAGGACCCAGGTTTGGTTCCCATCACCCACATGGCAGCTAAACTATTCATAACTCCAGTTCCAAGGGAATCTGCTGCCATCTTCTGACCTCCATGGGCATTGCATGACATGGGTGCACTTACATACATGCAAGAATAATACTCATACATATAAAATAAAAATAATACAAAATATTGTTTTAAAAAGAGTAACTGCAGGCTGAAGAGATGGCTCAGCAGTTAAGAGCACTGGCTGCTCTTGCAGAGGACCCAGGTTCAATTCCCAGCACCCACATGGCAGCTAACAACCATCAGTAACTCCAATTCCAAGGGAATCCAACTCCTGACCTTCGTGGGCATTGCACAACATGTGCATGTGTGCACAACACACATGCAGGCAATACACTCATACACATAAAATAAAAATAAATAAAATATTAAAAAATAAATAAAATAAAATGTTTTTAAAAACAACTGCTTTTCTAAGTCAGAAGTCTTCCCAGGCAAAACTACAGCCCCCAAACACCATCCCCATCTTGCCTCTCTGGTGTGTGGGTTAACCTTTCCAGGTTTATCCAAGTTACTCATGTGGGAACTGCAGGAGAGCTCCTTGGAACACAGTGCCTTCCAATTTATTCTTGTACTTTTCAGTATCTTATTCAATACAAATAAATCAAGAGCACAAATGTTTATTAATTGGGGGAGGGAGAGGGACACAGCAGACCACACGGGAGAGAGAAGAAAGACGGAGACAGAGACTTGAAAACATTTGTGGAGAGAATTCCCTCAGTGTTAAAAAATAAAAGAAACAATCCTCATAGGCTGAGGATGTGGGTCAGTGGGTAGAGTGCTTGCCTAGCACACCCAAGGCCCAGAGTCTGATTCCCAGCACCCCCACCCCAGTAAATGAGTTGGCCGCCAAGTACATCCTTAAGGACCTTAATTCCAAGTGCTTGCCACTGTCTGTAAACCAATGTACACGCAATGCCCTGGAGCTCTAGCTACCCCATCAAAGCACGGTAACTGCTCCCAAGCACTTTCTTACCCACCCCATCTCCGGTCTCAAAGCCTCTTCTTACTCAAAGCCTGTCGCAAATCTGAGAATGTTTCCTAGCAAAGACCACATGCTCCATGAAGGAGACACCCTAAAGGAAAAGTGTGCAAGAAATAAATATGCCAGATGTCTTTTCTTTCTTGGGAAGGAGGATCTAGGTCTGGCCCTCAATCCCCACCCTTTGAGAACCAATGCGTCCTATTCCGCCTCCATGTCTTACAGCAAGTGGGGCCTCTAGAAAATGCCAAAGGCGGGGAAGGGAGCTGAGAAGCACTTTGGCATCCCTAAGCTTAGCGGGTCCCCACCCCCGGCACCATCAGCAGAGCGGCCACAAGCAAGAGGAGCGGCTGGCCAGAGGAGGGCAGGGAGGGTGCGGGATGCTGGGGCCTGGAGGGATGCATGCCTCAGGGGGAGGAAGGTGAGGCGGGCGGGCGCAGCGAAGGCCGGCGGGCGGGCGGACACTTCCCTGCAAGCCTAGCTCATCGGCCGCCAGCCCAGGCACGGATGCATGGCAGCAGAGCGGCGGCCGTGCCCTTCAGTCCTACCTTCCCCGACTCCCCCGGCTCCATGGCCCCGCTCTCGCGACCCGTGCAGACCCCCTCCCCCAGAGGCCCGTTGCTGGCCACTCGGGAACCGGGTCCGGGAGGACGCAAACTTGCCTCTCCCACGTTGGGGGGGCGGTAGTGCTCGCGGAGGTGCAGAGCAGGGACTGGTGTAGTGATAACCGAAAGCTTTAGGGCTACCGCTTCTCAGGGGCGTGTGGCATCACGGGAAGTGTAGTCCAGCCTAGCTAAGCGGTCCTCAAAGCTCCTGTAGACTCCTGAAATTCCGAGCTGTGATTGGACCAGCTCTTCTCTACGCACCATCCCTGGGGAGCGTTCTCCAGACCTGCAGTACAAGCCGAGCAAGCATACTGGGTTAATGAGGGGGATACTTTTTCTTACATTCTTTCTTTTTCTTTATTTGTTAAAGACAGTATCTCACAAGGTAGCCCAAGTTGGTCTTGAACTCCTGATTCTTGCGTGTTGAGTGGTGTTGATTATAGGCTGGGCTGTCATTCAGGGTTGACTTGTGTGTGTGTGTGTGTGTGTGTGTGTGTGTGTGTGTGTGTGTGTTTGATTTCTGAAAATGAAGCCTAGGGCTTTGCAGACATGGTGCCTTTGCTGCATCCTTGCATGACAAAAGAGACAGATAAGGCTCTTGAGGTCTCTTTATAAGAGCACTGATCTCCGAGTGTGGAGGAGCTAGGGGGAAATACTATGGTGTGGATCTATGTGTCTTGTGATTTGAATCTGAAATGTCCCCCACAGGCTCATATTTTGAATGCCAGGGCCCAGCTACTAACTCTAATGCCACCACTGATGGTGCCACTTCTGCCACCCTGCCTCTCCCACATGATGAGCTGAAATCCCCTCTAAAACCAAGAGCTAAAATAAACCTTTCTTCCCTGCACTTGTTATGTCAAGTAGTGTGTCACAGTGACAAGAAAAGAAATTAACATGGTGCTCTTCTAAAATTCACACTAGAAATTTAATATCCAAAGCAATAGTGTTACAAAGTGGGACCTTTAAGAGCTGATTAGATCATGTGTGTTCCATCAAGAATAGGTTAATGCCCTGATGCAGGGACTCAAAAAGTGCCCTTCCATCCCTTCCACCCCTCAACGATGCTGCAACAAGGTGCAGAGGCCAGGTCTCGCTAGACAAAGAACCTGACCTGCTGTCACTTTTATATTAGACGTCTTAGCCTCGAGCACTCTGAGAAGTAAAGATCTATTATTTATAAATTATCTGGTATTGGGTATTTCGTTATAGCAGCGCAAATAGCCTAAGAAAAATACCCAAATCATTAAAATATGTACATAATTTCATTTCCTTCAAAAGATGTAAAATTATATAAAGTAAGAATTAAAATAATTTACTGATTGTTATATAGAGGTAATATCTATAATAATAATAGCATAAATAATGTGTTCACATGAATCTCTGTGTGTGTGTGTGTGTGTGTGTGTGTGTGTGTGTGCGTTACTAGAGATCAAACCCAGGACCCCCACATATGCCAGGCTAGTGTTTTCACCACTGATCTACATTCCCAATCCTCTTTTGAATTTTTTTTTTTTTTTTAGTCTTTTTGAGACAGGGTCTCCCTGTAGCCCCAGCTGTCCTGGAACTCTCTATGTAGACCAGGTTGGCCTTTAACTCACAGGGATCTGTATGCCTCTGCCTCCTGAGTGCTGGGATTAAAGGCATGCACCACCACTCCTGGCGTTTGACTTTTTAAAAAATTGTTTAAGGTCTTTATTAAGGAGTGCTTGCAATTTGTTGACTTTTTGAAAAAATAAAGTTGTAAACTCTTATTACATATTAAAATTAAGTTCTTAAAAATATAGGCTACATATAAAACTATTTTAAAACCTTTAAAGGTGAATTGAGAAAAACCAGGCTTTTTAAAAAAGCGTTCGTGGAGATCCTAGCAGACAGCCTGAGAGGGTGGGTTCGGACCTCCATCGGGGTAGTGGCTGGGAGCTTAGCAGACCGCCAGAGTGTGCTGGGTTCTGGCCTCCCTCTGACCTCCAAATACCAGAGGGCCTGAGAACCCAGGGGACAGCCTGACAGCCCCCAATCTTGCTTCCTTGTGGTGGTCCTTTTAATAAGAAGATGCTATACAGCAGTCCCTTCTGCATGAAATAACTACCATCATCACGATTTCGGCTGAGCCTGATCGCTAAACATAGTCACAATTGGGCTTGTTGATGGTTGTGCTCATTCATTAAAGGAGTGCCAAGCAGGGTCACTGGACCCTCACCTGAGTATCCAGCCACTCTTCCCAGCCAACTAGTCCAGCCTTGGAAGACAAAAGAAAAATGAGGAGGAACCCAATAGAGGGATGCTTTTGGAAGCCCTTGTCAAGAAACTCCAATGGACTTTCATATGAGCATTTGAAAATTGCCCTGTTCTGACTTTTTTCTAGTTCCCTGTCTAGAAGTTGTAATGCTAATTACTCTTGCCTTTACTTCTCCTTCACATCTCCTATTCATGATTCAAGGAGTTTCTTCTTCCCTTAAACACAAGAGTTATGCAATTTTGGAGTCTTTTAGATAGACCCACTGAAGGGGTACTCCAATTGCCTCACCCTACATCCCTGTTCAGCATGGAAGAAGTCAGAGTGGTTGGCGCCCCTATTCCCTATTGGCAATTTGGGTAACCCCTTCAGAGGATGGTGTGATAAGAATAGGAGGCTAAGCAGTTAGGGTACAAAGACCCCAAATAAATGTAGCCAGCTTCTTGGCTAAAAGTCAAAATGTCCTTGGGCCTCTTAGCAACATACTCTGTTCCAAGGCCAAAAATGTCAAAAGTA